AGAGCCGGGACAACAAGGTTCGCCTTGCATTGTTCATACTAGTCTTGGGGCGGCCCTGAGGCTTCACAGTCGTGGGGCGGCCCTGGGGCCTGGGCTGGCGCCTTAGGGGGCTTCACAGTCGTGGGGCAGGCCATCGCCCAACAGAGAGGTGGCCACGGCGCAGTCCGGGTTATTGGTGCCCCACAGTCGTGGGGCCCTTCTTGTAGCAGTAGGTGCCGAATTTTAGTATTGGAAGGTTCGCCCCCGCGGCCGCTCCCATAATAGGTGGGTAGCTTTCACGGGGATAACCGTGCTTCACATGGACCCCATGGAGAGCAGTAGTAGGGGAGAGGTTTGCCGAGTAGGTATTGCTATCTAGTCGCGGGGTTACACGTGACCGTAAAGGTAAAGGGATAAGCGAGGGGCAACGCTAGGGCTTCACAGTCGTGGGGCGGCCCTCCTGTTGAGGGAGGATGAGAGTGGGGTTGTTAAAAGGGCACGGTCGTGGGGCGTTGCTCGCCTGCCTCTCATTGCGAGAGGGGGGTGGGCAAGCTTCAAAGTCTGGGGGAAGGGATGAATTGCCACTTAGTGGTAGGGGGACAAGTGACAGCGATGGGCAAAATGTAAGAGTTTGCCGATCATAAGGCTTCACCGTCGTGGGGCGGCCCTCCTGTTGAGGGAGGATGAGAGTAGGGTAGTTAAGCGGGCTTCACAGACGTGGAGCGGCCCCCCTCCAGGAGGAGGACGGTGGCGCATTCCTTATAACGGGCTTCACAGTCGTGGGCCGTGTCTCGCCTGGTAGGCATCCGTAGGTAGATTACATAGTACCCGAGTAATAGCGGTCGGGGTACGGCATATACAGTGCGGCTGGCCGCTGCCGCCGCCGCTTCGCTTCATTAGGTTGACGGTCATGTTCCCTTGTGTTAGGGCACGATACGGTAACACTTGACCCGTGCCTTAAACGACAGCCGAGACAATCCTCCTCCTCTTCCTTATGGGACACACAGTCCTGGCAAATGGGACGCACAGTCCCTGTTATGGGACACGCAGTCCTGGCAAATGGGACGCGCAGTCCCTGCTATGGGACACACATTCCTGGCAAATGGGACGCGCAGTCTCGATTATGGGGCGCACAGTCCTGGCAAATGGGACGCACAGTCCCTGTTATGGGACACGCAGTCTTGGCAAATGGGACGCGCAGTCCCTGTTATGGGACACACATTCCTGGCAAATGGGACGCACAGTCTCGATTATGGGACGCACGGTCCTGGCAAATGGGACGCGCAGTCCCTGTTATGGGACACGCAGTCCTGGCAAATGGGACGCGCAGTCCCTGCTATGGGACACACATTCCTGGCAAATGGGACGCGCAGTCTCGATTATGGGACGCACGGTCCTGGCAAATGGGACGCACAGTCCCTGTTATGGGACACGCAGTCCTGGCAAATGGGACGCGCCGTCCCTGCTATGGGACACACATTCCTGGCAAGTGGGACGCGCAGTCTCGATTATGGGACGCACAGTCCTGGCAAATGGGACGCACAGTCCCTGTTATGGGACACGCAGCCCTGGCAAATGGGACGCGCAGTCCCTGCTATGGGACACACATTCCTGGCAAATGGGACGCGCAGTCTCGATGATGGGACACACAGTCCTGGCAAACGGGACGCACAGTCCCTGTTATGGGACACGCAGCCTTGGCAAATGGGACGCGCAGTCCCTGCTATGGGACACACATTCCTGGCAAATGGGACGCGCAGTCTCGATTATGGGACACACAGTCCTGGCAAATGGGACGCGCAGTCCCTGTTATGGGACACGCAGCCCTGGCAAATGGGACGCGCAGTCCCTGCTATGGGACACACATTCCTGGCAAATGGGACGCGCAGTCTCGATTATGGGACACACAGTCCTGGCAAATGTGACGCGCAGTCCCTGTTATGGGATACGCAGCCCCCGCGCATTGGAGGATGTCCCATGTAAATCGGAGGTGAGGGGGAGAGATCGAAGTGGAACGGAGAGCCCCCCATACCGGGAAATCGGTTTCGGTTTCGTGTTCGTGCGCGTTGGTTACTCCCCCCCACCCGAACCTCCTTATCACCCGAAGGGTGGTCGTTTTGGTACGGAAGAGGCGTCTCTTGTCTGGCATTGCGTTATTTGGTCTCCTCATCCTACTGTTCCTCTTCCTCATCCTATTCCTCCTCCTCGTGCTTTTGGCCCCGTGCCCCAGACACGTCGTGGAGGAGTAGCCAGGTAGGTTCATGCTTTGACATGTTGATAGTTCGCAGACCATAGTAGGCCGTAGCAGGCCTGGGGTCTCCGCAGTTGCACGCGGGCCACAGGTGGCAGTGTCAGGCATGGGGGTGGGGGGCTTACCAGCCACCGTGCAAAGGGCCCGCGTGTAGGCCATGGGTGGCCACAGGCCGTGCAGTGGAGGGCATTGGCGCGAGTGTTGCACAGCATAGGCGTGGTAGTAGCCGCATCTTCACAAGTGTTGCATCCATGGGAGTACGGGGATTGGCACGGGGCAGCTAAGTGTGCTTCACAGTCGTGGGGTGGCCCTCCTCTGGGAAGAGGCCAGGCGGTTGTAAACCATCCTGCTTCGCAGCCGTGGGGGACTTTACTCGTGCATTCCAGGTTGCATCCCACTTGAACTAGCATGGCATACCAAACAGTCAGGTAGGTTCATGCTTTGACATGTTGATAGTTCGCAGACCATAGTAGGCCGTAGCAGGCCTGGGGTCTCCGCAGTTGCACGCGGGGCATAGGTGGCAGTGTCAGGCATGGGGGTGGGGGGCTTACCAGCCACCGTGCAAAGGGCCCGCGTGTAGGCCATGGGCGGTCATAGGCCGCGCAGTGGAGGGCATTGGCGCGAGTGTTGCACAGCATAGGCGTGGTAGTAGCCGCATCTTCACAAGTGTTGCATCCAGAACATGGCGTGCCACCATTGTTAGGGCACGAAGCGGTAAAACATTACCCGTGCCTTAAACGACAGCCGTGACAATCCTCCTCCTCCTCCTCCTCCTCCGCCCGAAGGGGGAAGGGGAAATCGGGGCCAGGCCCTGTGGCCGCTTGGCCCGTCCCGAGGGGCGCACGCGCGCAGCCGCGCGCGAGCGCGAACGGCGCGCACGGCGGGCGCGGGGGGGGCACTTCTGGGGGGAGGTACTCCGGCGTGCCGCACAGGGTGGACGTCATCTCGCGCGCGCGGCCCGCTCCTCGTCGTCCTCGTCGATCTTCTCGTCCTCGCCCTCCTCCTCCTCCTCCACCTCCTCCTCCTCCTCCTCCTCCTCCTCCTCCTCCTCCTCCTCTCCCTACCCCACCCCAAACCAAACCCTCTGCTTCCTCCCACGCACACGCCTCCTCCTTCGATCCGAGGATTGGATTTCTACACATCTACCACCTCGGGAGCCGACCTCCCTGACCTCGGGAGGCGGTGGATATTGAATATTCGGGCCAGGTGGGGGGGGGCCAAAATATGTCCACGTCCACTGGCCCTTGGGGCCTGGGGACGTCAATTCCCCAAGCGGTGGATAGGTATAACAAGCGATGACCAACTGCTTAAACCGAAACTTCCGGAGGTCCTTGATGCAATTTTCCTCTTCTTCGATGCAAATCCCCGCCTCGCATCCAAGTCCCCCGCCTCCCCATCCTCCTCCGCCTCCTGTTGCGGAAGGTTCTATACCTGCCCAAGCCCGTCCTGGGACCAGGAACCAGGAGCGGTGCAGATTTTCGCCCTCCTGGCTTGGCCATGGTGGAAGGCCTCTCACTCGCCCAAACTCTTCCGAATCGTCGGAGGTTCGGGCCATCCTCCTCTCCCGACGCCCCTCCATCTGGGGCGGCGCCCGCCCGACAGCCGCGAGCGAGACTCGTGCCTTCGAGGACGACCAAGCTCCAGGCCTCCCAGATGGGATCCGAGCATATGTCGGCGGTGGACAAACCTTCCTTTAGTAAACCACCCTTTAGTGAAAACGGCCTGGGACCGAAACCGAAGGACCTGGACCCGCAAAAATGACGGCCCCGACGCCCTCTCGCGAACCGAAAACGGCCAATTCGCTAATCGGCGCGTCAGGGCAGGAGGTTCATCAACCTCCGAATATAGGGCGCTCCAGACAGGGCCTCGCCCTGACGTAAAGGTCGGGGCCGCTGGTCTGCCGAGCTCGGTGCTCCGGCGCCGCCAGCCGGCGCACGGCGCGCCCGCGCCGGCGCCCGCGCCGCCGCGGCGGGGCCTCCGCCGCTGCCCGGCCCCAGGCGCCGGCTGGCGGGGCGGCAGGAGTTCGCGGCGGCGGCTGGGCTCGTGCGCGCCCCGCCCCGCCCCACCACGCGGGGGCGGGGCCCTCCTCGGCCTCTTCCTCCTCCTCCGGCGGCTTGCTCCTCCTCCTCGGCCTCCTCCTCCTCCTCCTCTTCCTCCTCCTCCTCCTCCTTTTTTAACGTTGGCCGGACATGAAGAGCGCGCTTGCTCCTCCTCCTCCTCCTCCTCCTCCTCCTCCTCCTCCTCCTCGTCCTCTCTCCTCCTCGTCCTCCTCCTCCTCCTCCTCCCTCGCCTCCTCCTGTACCTGGGGCCGCGATTGGGTGGGAGCTCGGCCTTCCCCGCAAGGCCCATCTTCGACAGCCCGAAATCGGTGAGCCTAGCCGCGGCGGGCCGCGGGCCGCGGGCGCTCCACCTCGAACTCCTCCTCACCTCTTGCTCATCTCCCCAACTCCTCGTCCTCAAATCCTGCCACCTCTCCACCATCTCCCCCTCAACTCGCCCTCCTCGACTCCTCCTCTTCTTGCTGAGCCGAGGTTCGTAACGAACGCAGGAAGCAGCACCCACGAAGCGGGGCCTAACCGAAGGTTGGCGTTTTCCTCGATATGAGGGAGGCGGAGGAGGAGGAGGAGGAGGAGGAGGAGGAGGAGGGGCGAGTATCGGGAGGGGTCTTCGCTGGCTTTAGTTATACGCGGCTCAAGTGGGGGTCGAAAAGGACCTCCCCTGCCGATTGCTTCAAGAAGAATGGGGTGAGAAGGCACTCCTATAACACCGTGGAGATCATCAAAACCACGCAGACGCAGAATCGATCCCATCCTCCTTCCCATCCCTCGCCCACAAGGAGGAGCCTGCAGTAAGAAGTTTTGGGAGACTTTCGGCGAGGGATGAGCTTGCGACAGTTTCGGAAGGAAAGGAGAAACTTCAACCCTACACTATATCTTGGCTCGTAAGAAAGATTATCCGCACTCCTCTTTCTCCTCCTCCTCCTCCTGCTCCTTCGCCACCTCATCACGTCCTCGCGTTCTGACACACTGGCACCCTCCACCTCAGCACCGCAACTACTCCCAGACCGCTTGGCATCCTGATGTCTTGCGCTGACCTCCTGACACTTCGGCACCATGACAAGGGGACCACATTCCACAGACATCCTACTATGTGTTTCAGTCCGCGCCCAACGAAGACGAGGTCTCGACCATTTGCCCAGAAGCAAAGTTTCGTCCTGGACCCGTTATCTTGCCATATCCGAAGTATTGGATTCTTGTTATCGGTGTGATGTCTCCGCCTCCCTTCCCTTTCTTACCTCTCCTCACTCACATTCAGACTCACTCACCCACACTCACTCAGACTCGCTCACACTCAGAATCACTCACACTCAGACTCACACCCAGACTCACTCATACTCAGACTCAACACTCAGGCTCAGCCCTACTCAGGTACACTCATATTCAGATGCACTCATACTCTGATACGCTCACGCTCAGACTCGCTTCTCACACTCAGACTCATACAAACTCCGAGTCACTCACACCCTGACCCACCCACACAAACCACACACTCAGGTTCGCCTCAAATTCAACTTGTGAGGGTATTTCGAGCGAGGCGAAAGTTTCAACACTCCAAAAGGGAGCCGCCACGGGGTATGGCATTGGCCGGTTCGCGCCCAAGTAGTGTGTATGTCTCAGGCGATTTGCTTGTTTGATGGGTTGGACTTTGGTGCTTTCCGAACAGATTGTTAGGATGTATCGACTGGGGCGCCGGCTTCAGCATCTACAGGGGAAGCCGCCAGGGGGTAGGACATTTGTCAGTTCGCAACCAGATTACAGACATGGCTCAGGCGGTTTGCCTATTTGGTAGCTTGGCCTTCGGTACTATTGAAAAAATGTGCGTGGATGTCTCGAGCGAGGCGCTGGCTTCAGCACTTCAAGGGACAGCCCCCGGGGGGTTATGGCATTTGGTCGTTCGCGCCCAGATTATGGGGATATCTCAGGCGGTTTGCCTGCTTGGTGGCTTGGACTTCGGTCCGTTCAGAAAAAATAGTGAGGATGTTTTCAGCGAGGCGATGCTTAGGCACTTTGAGTTGTTAGGTCTCGGACATCTGCCCTTTCGCGCCCAGATTACGGAGATATCTCGGGCGGTGTGCCTGTTAGGTAGCCTGGACTTCGGTGCTTTCAGAACTGATGACGAGGATGTCGCAAGCGAGGCGCTGGCTTCAGCACCCTACAACCCTCGTCAAAATGAACCTCAAACATGTCTGACGTGGTTGAACTGTTTGTCGGAAGATCCGGGGCCGAGTATCGATGAGTGTGGGGTACTTGCATGCGCCGCCCCTCCAATGTCGGTCGACGTCAAACTTTCGAGTCAACTTCGGTCAGACTATCTTTGCCCTCGCCCCGACATTGAAGGGGCGGCGTGTCGACATTGAGGGGCGCGCCGAAATCGAAATGACGTGCCAGCAACTTTTGAGGTTAATTTTGACGAGGGTAGTAGGCGGCCAGATCGTGGGGATGTATTGAGCGAGGCGCTCGGCTTTGCACCTCCGACCCCTGTCCGTTCGGAGCCCCATGCTCACTCCGATGTGAGGCGAAGGACGGCCGTCAGGACAGAGCGGAGAATGGAGGACGCAGGAACAGGGAGAAGGGAGGACGACGGGCAGTAAGAGGAGGAAGAGGGGAGAGGGCCTGCTCAGCGCCTTTCTTTCTCTGAGTTGCCTTCGTCGCTGTCTCCTATCGTAGCCGCCGCCATCGTCGTCGTCGTCGTCGTCGTCCGCCGCCGCCGCCGTCGGCGTCGGCGTCGGCATCGGCGTCGCCTTCGCCGTCGTCGTCGTCGTCGTCGCCGTCCGCCGTCGTCGTCGTCGTCGTCGCCGTCGTCGTCGTCGTCGTCGTCGTCGTCCGCCGCCGCCGCCGCCGTCGCCGCCGCCGCCGCCGCCGTCGCCGTCGCCGTCGCCGTCGCCGTCGTCGTCGTCGTCGTCCACTCGGACTCGCTCTCACACCCAGACGCTCACGGCCAGACACGCACATCGGGACGTGCCAAGAAATAAGATGCACATACTTTGATCTACGCGTCGAATTGCTATGACTTTGGCAGAGAAGGATCCATAATACGAGCGTGAACCCAGAATACTCCTGACATCTGCGTATAATATGTCTTAACATCTTCCTGACAACCTGCCTCGGGGAGAGTTCTATCAATGTGTCAAGAGAAATCCGGGACACGTCGCCCTAACATCTTCCTACGGGGGGAGCTTTATGGTATTTCTCTCACATTTAAACAACAAAACAAATACATGCGCATCCCACGCTTTCCGACGGAGGATTTTAAGATGGCGATCTTAGGAAAAGTCCCCAAACCAATCGTCCGAGGGAAGGATTCCTCGTCTTGCCAACGCTTGGGCGTCCATGCCACGTGCATTGTTTGGTGTCGTGCGTGATTTTGTTTTCCAAAATGGCCCAAAATGCTCCAAGATGGTCCAGATGTTCTACAGTCGGACTTGATTGGAGAGGACACGCGAGAGGACACAAGACCCTTCCGAGGGCCACGTTGCCACAGAAAGGAGGCATGGGTCGCAAGACACAGGACACGAGGGTACCCTTGATCTGGCAGGGTCGGCGGCGAGCGCGGGGGGGGGAAGTGAGAAGGAGAAAGCCTTCTCAGAAGGCTGGGAAGTCCCCCGGCCTTCTGAGAAGTTTTCTAAGCCTTCCCCGAAGACACAAACAACTTCTGAGAAGGCGCGAGAACTTCTGAGAAGTCCCGCGGCCTTCTCCTTCTCACTTCCCCCCTCGCTCGCCGCCGAAAGATGGTCCAGATGTTCTAGCGCTGGCCTCGTCGAGAAAACCACGCACACGTCCGAGCAATGGCGAGCGCGGAAATATTCAAGACGGTTCGCGGGCGGCGGGCGGGCTCTCTCTCGATGGGCGGGCTCGAGACCGAGGCCGCGCTGACGGCGATGTTGCTCAACGGTGATGTTGGGGACCAACTTGTAGGAAATCACGATTCACACTTTCCTACATTTCCCATGCGCGCGCGAATGTATCGAGCTAGAACGACGCAGCGAATTGCAGGAAAGCGCGACCCACGCGTTCCCACAATACCGAAACCTACCTCGCCGTTACCTACATCGCCGTTAGCGTGTCTACGGCGAGACGTTTCAATACAACTCCTGAGGGTGCTGTACATCAGCGGGGCGTGATGTGGACACGGAAGAGCCTCTGCGGGCACGGTGAAAAGCGCTCTCTAGCCTTTACTGCTCCAGGCTCCAGGGCCTTTGCCTGCAGCCGATCCGAAGCTTTAATTTGGACTTCGTCGGTGCACTATCAAGAAAACTCGGGAGCTTCATTCTGGCGGCCGCTCCGGGGCAGAGGAAGTAATAATCTTCTCACAACCTTCCTGAGTGGGGGCCCTACGACTCTGACAGTTCCATGAATAATCTCCCTGTAGCCTTCCTGATGGTGGATGTCATGAAGACATTTCGAGTATCCCACGGCGAATCTTCCGAACCTCTTCTCGACGGAGGATTATTGGAAGCTTCCCGTCCAGGAAGAATCTGCCTAGAATATCCCTGGGGGTTAGTTGCCTACGAATTCATAAGACGCCAGGAACAATCTCACAGACATGAGGGGGGATGTCAGGAAGATCTGAACCGTATTCCGAAACAAAAAATCAAAACATCTTCCTGAGTGACGATGTCAATACTTTGTTCACATATTCCATTCAGGAACGTCATTATATGACATCTGCGTGGCCGAGGACCTAATTCAGATTCTAAGAAGACTCTGTGCATAGTCTCGCTAAGTCTTCCTGCGGGAAGATCCCATGGAGATCTGGAAGAGAATTCAAATCATTATCTCCCTGACGTCTTCGCGAATGAAGATTCTGCATACGAACTTTGGGCAAATTCCGCGAAGAATCTTCATTTCGGAGGCTCGGAGGCCTTATTTGGATTGCACAAGGGTCGATGCTCCGACGCCTTGTTTGGAGCCGCTGCGGGGCCTGATTTGGAGCGCTCGGGGCCTTTACTTGCTTCGGGGCCTTAGCTGTGATGATTCGGGCCCTGATTTTGAGCCGTTCTGGGACCTCACTTGGAGCCGCTCAGGGGTCTTATTTTGGATCGATCTGGGCTTCTATTTACAATCGCTTTGGGGCTGAGGAGACTTCAGGAAGAACCTTCCTAAAAAATCCCTGACTGAACATTGCACGGAGACTCTAACAATATTCCGTGAATGATATCTCTCCAATCTTCCGAACGGAAGATTCTATGGAGCTGCTCGACATATTCCGCGATGAACTTTCCTAAAATCTCATAGGATGATTCGCGTACAGTCTTCCTGACACGACGAAGGTGGTTAGGAAGATTTCAAACATATTCCCAAACTCATATTCCTAATACATCTTCCTGAGGGGAACTGTCAAACACATGCTCACACATCCCACTGAGAAATCTCATATCACATCTGCATGGCGGAGGACGTCACTCAGATTCTAGGAAAATTCCAGACATAATCTCACCAAAACCTTCCTAACGACAAAATCAATGACGAACGTGAGAAGTTCCAATCGTATCTCCCAAACATCTTCCGGAATGAGGATTCTGCAGAAAAGAATCTTCAGCTGGGAGGCTCGGAAGCCTTATGTGGAGCGATCCAGGAGCGATGCTCGGAAGCCTGATTTGGAGCCGCTGCGTGGCCTGATTTGGAGCGCTCGTTGGCTTTACTTGGAGCCGCTCTGGAGCCGTACTTGTAGCGCTCCGGGGCCTCAACTGTGATGTGCTGGGCCCTTGTCTGGAACCGCTCTGGGCCTTATTCGGACCCGCTCTGGGTTTTGTTCGGAGCGTTTCGGGCTTTTCTCTGAAGCCGCTCTGGGGCGAAGGAGACTTTTTGACGAATGTTCTCGAAGTCTTCGTGAATGAGGACTGCACTGAAACTCCAACAGCACTCCATGAATAGTTTCCATCCAATCTGCCTGGCGGAGGATATTATGAAGATGGATCTACTCCACGACAAATACTCCTAAACTCTTCCAGACGGAGGATTCGACGAACGATTCGAATCCAGAAAGAATATTCGAAAAATCTTCCTGGGTGGGTTACATAATAATTGATAGTCCACCAAGGACAGTCTTCCTGACATGAGGGAGGAAGTTTGGACTCCATTATAACATAAAAAGTATCTCTAACATCTTCCAGAGAAGAGGATGTCATGAATATGTTCAGACTTTCCACTAACATACCTCATACACAATTGGCACGGCGGAAGATGTCATTCATATCCGAAGAAATTCCACAGATACTCTCGTCCTACTCATCCTACGGGAGGGTCCCATGACGATCTTGAGAAATAATCCAAGCACGATCTCCCTAACATCTTCCTGGATGGCGATGTTGCGCACATTTTGGGACGATCCCACGAATCTTCAGTTGGGAGGCTCGGAAGCTATTTTTGCAACGCTCCAGGGACCATGATCGGAAACTTTATTTGGAGCGGCTGCGGGGCCTGATTTGGAGCGCTCGGAACCCTCACTTGGATCCGCTCTGGAGGCGTATTTGTAGCGCTCCGGGGCCTTACCTGTGATGACCCTGGCCCTTATCTGGAACGGCTCTGGGGCCGTATTCGGAACCGCTCCAGGGCTTTACTTGGAACGCTCAGGGTTGATATTTTGAGCCGCTCTGGGACGAAGGAGATTTCAGGAAGAATCTGCCTAAAATCTCTCTGACTGAGGATTATACTTGAGCTCTAACAATATTCCGCGAATGATCTTCACATTATCTTCCAGGCGAAAGATGTTATGAAGATGCTCGAGCTATCCCACGATGAATCTTCCTACACTCTTCCAGCCAGACGATTCGACTGAGGATGCTGGGAGGACTCAAGTCCAGAAATGATTGTCGTAAAATCTTCCTGGGGGTGCTTTATTCAAGAATTGAGAGCCCGCCCAGAAAGTCTTCCTGACATGACGGAAGATGTCAAGATGATTCTAAGCAGATTTCGAAATAACTATTCCTACGTTCTTCCTGAAGGAGGATGTCAAGAACATGTTCGCATATTCCACTGAAGAGCTTCATATAACACCTACATAGCGGAAGTTGACAGTCACATTCTAAGACATATGCCAAATGTAATCTCGTCAAAACTTTACCAACGGAAGGATTCCATGACGATCTCGAATCTCCCTGACATTTTCCTGAATGCGCATGGTGCGCACATTCTGGGAAGATCCCACGAAGAATCCTCATTTCGGAAGCTCGGAAGCTGTATGTGGAGCGCTCCAAAGACCGTGCTTCTGCGGGGCCTGATTTGGAGCGCTCGTGAGCCTTACGTGGAGTCGCTCTGGAGCCTTATTTGCAATGCTCCGGGGCCTTGCTGTGATGGCCTGGGTCCGTATCTGGAAACGCTCTGGGGCCTTACTCGGAGCCGCTCCGGGCTTTATTTGGAACGCTCCGGGCTTAGCTCTTCGAGCCGCTCTGGGGCTGAGGAGATCTCAAGAATAATAATCGTCGTCGGATATCCTTGCATGAAGATTGCTCTAAGAGTATAGAAAGCTTCCACCAATAATGTTCCTACGATCTAACTCGCGGCGGGCGTCATGGATATGTTCCAATCATTCCGCGCCAAATCTTCCTACACTCTTCCAGCAAGGTGGATTCGGCTGAGAATTTTGGACAGATCCCAATCCAGGAAGAATCATCGCACAATCCAATTTGGGTTTCCTTGATCTAAAAAATCTCATCACAAATCTCGCGGAGAGGGAATTCTGAAATAATGATCGTGGCACTTCCTGAAACATGCCTAGATTCTCCCTGGGGGATGACTCCCGAAAAAGTCTCCCTAACATCCCCCGAACAAATTCCCGAGGAAGGCCGCCCACGAGAAAGATTCTCAAACCGCCGCGCCCGCCTGCCCCCGGGGGCCGATACGGAACGAGAAACCGGAGACGACAAAACAACATCGGCTACACGTAAGAGCGACCCTGGGCAAGAGTGACCTTTGCTGCGCGACTTGGCGGGGGACGCGGGGGCACCACACGCGAGCGCGCGAGACGCCACCATCGCATCGCGTGTGGCGATCGCGGGACCCAAGTGGGCCAGCACCAGAGGTCACTCCGGCGAAGGGTCACTCTTACGTGGAGCCGACAAAACCTTCGGATGCCTGGGCCTCGTCGTCCCCGGGCTGGCCCGGTCCGCTCCTCCACCGCACGCGCTGCCACCGCGGGCCAGACCGGGGAGGCCGTGGCAGGCCCATCGCGCACCGAGCCTCACGTGGCCGTCCGAGTCGAGCAGCACGTTCTGCGGCGGCAGGCGGGAAAGGGGAGGAGGAGGAGGAGGAGGAGGAGGAGGAGGAGGAGGAGGAGGAGGAGGAGGAGGAGGAGGAGGAAGGGGTTGAGGAGGAGGACGAGGAGGAAGGAGGAGGAGGAAGAAGGGTTGAGGAGGAGGACGAGGAGGAGGAGGAAGAGGAGGGGGACGAGGATGAGAAGGAGGATGACGAGGAGGAAGAGGAGGAAAAGGGGGAGGGACATGAGAAGGAGGAAAACACGAATCATAAGAACGATACGAATAATAATAAATATAACATACTAAGAATATGATGAAACATCAAACTACAATATTATTTTGAATAACAAACAACATAATCATAAGATGGCGAATAGAAACACGAATAGTAATAGTGATAAGAATATGTCGAAACATAGCAATAATAATTACTAAGAATACCAATAATGAAAATTGGAATGACAAGAATAAGCGGGCCGCGAGAGGTCGCGGTTCCGGCGCGGAGGCCACCAACAGCTCGAGGATCCAATCGAAGTTCTGGACCGAGAATTCGCCTTCCAGCTGCTTTGTCTGCTCACAGGCGAACTCCCTTGGTGGCCATCTTCACCAGCTTGTGGAAATGATCCCTGGATTTCCTTGGATATGCCTAACCAATCCCAACGCGCCCCGACGCCAGCTGATGTCCGGGCCGCGGTTGCGGGGGCGAAAGTTGAATCACCGGCCCGCCCCCCCCCCCCCCCGCCCCACCTCCGCGGGAGGCGCGCTTTGCCGAAACCCCGTTCGAACAGCCATTCCAGCGCCTTCGCGGGCACAAAGGCTACCGACCGCCACGGCGGGAGCGGGGTTCGTCGCCGCTGAAGGCGCGCCTCTCGAGGGGCAACAGACATCATTAAGGGCAGGATCCGCCAGCCCGCCCTCTGCGGCCGTCAACGCTCGGAGGAGGGGGGGGGAGGTGGAAGAGGGAAAAAAGGAGGAGGAGAGGGAGGAGGAGGAGGAGGAGGAGGAGGAGGAGGAGGAGGAGGAGGAGGAAGGAGAGAGGAGGAGGAGGAGGAAAAGGAGGAGGAGGGGGAGGAGGCGGAGGAAGAGGAAGAGGGGGAGGAGGAGGCGGAGGCGGAGGAGGAACACACAGCCTCGAGGGGCGACCGACGACGGCTGGACGACAGGTCGCCAGTCAGCCACCTGGCAGCAGCGCGGCAGAAGAGTGCAGGCGGGGCCCGCCTGCGGAGCTGGCGGAGGCGCGCCGTGCCCAAGATGGCAAAGTGGGATCGCTCCACGATGGGGGGGGCACGAGGCCAGATCATGATAGGCACTGCAGCAAATACCAATATAGAGAGCGACTGAGGCCAGCTGAAGACGGTAAAGAGGCAGCAAGAGGAACAGAGAAGCACGAGCACCAGCAGGGGGGGAGCGGAACTGCACAGGAAGACGAGGTAGCAACGTCATGATGTGGGATGTGCAGCCACGAACTAACACGTGAAGCATGTTATCGGAATTCGCTTGCTGACAAAACCTGAAGTAGTCGGCGTCCCACGATTTCGTCGGGTGGTGCACCGCACATAGCATCTTGTACGAACAGCACGACTGGCCACGCACGTGAGAGCTTGTGGAACAATGCGCAGAAGAGCTACATGCATGACGCCGAACTGATGTGGAGACGGAGAAAAACGAATTTGCAGAGACGATTGAACAGGGCAGAACGGAGGAAAGGGCGGGAGGGCAGGGAGGGCAGCCCCAGACTTACTCTGGAACCTCGGGGGCCCAAAGGACGGCATGGTCGGGATCTGACACAAGGAACTGTAGTCGGCGATGATTTCGAAAATGGACGAGAAGAGCCAAGACGGGGTTTTGCTTCCACCCATGTGGCGCGGCATCAGCTCCGTCGTCCTCAAGTAAGTGCTTCCCCAAAAAAACGCATCCGACATGAGGTACGGTGCATAGCGGCGCGCGCCACTGGTTCGAGTGCTCCGGCCTGCATCGGACACCCCCTAGATCTTAGGTTCTGAAGGATGCCCTGGGAGATACTGTCGTTCGGCGCGTTGGCGAAGCATTGTTGCTTTTCCTGAAGGCAGCGAAGGCTCGCTTCGTCGGCGGGAAAAACTGCATCATCGTGTCTTTTAAATATTCGCGATAACGGGCGCGATTGGGGGGGAGTTCGCCCCTCCCGATCGCATCGCGGCGGGGGGCCGCCGCGAGCACCGAAGCGCCGCCGCGCGCGCCGCCAAGGCTTCCAAGCACGACGGCGCGCTGGAGCGCACCGCATTGACCTCGAGACGGCGCGCGCGCGAGAGCAGCGCAACGTGCTTGCGAGGTGAACGGGGGCCGCCTAAGAAACCAGAGGCTCGTCGCCGCTGGCCTCTGGCGGCCTCGGGGAGCCCCCGGAGGCAGCCGCGGGCTCTGCGGCCCCCCGAATGCCCCGCAACCGCCGACGACAAAATGCGCGAAAATGTGCGCGCTCCCCCAACGCCGCCTCCTACTCCCCCCCCCACCCCTCCTCCTCCCCCTGCCCCACTGGGGCCTCTGGAGCCTCTGACAAGGCGATCCCTCGGCGAAAGATGACGTGCAACGAGGAAATTCAGCGCGCGGGGAATGGGGCTCCAACCCCGCTCTTGCTGGTCGGACCCACCCCTTGCGAAGCAGCTTGGGCGCTCTCGCCCCTGCCGCCCCTGCCTCGCTGGGGGGGGGGGGGGGGGGGGGGGGGGGGCGCGTCGCGCAGCCGAGTCAGTGGCCCGTCGCCTCGCGCGGCGGCCGCGCCCAGCGCAGTGCAAGATGTCAGCTGCGCCCAGGCACCACACCCCGTGAGTCGCACGCACCTTAGCTAGGATCCTCGGGATGCTTGGGCAACGCTCTTGAACGGCAGCGCTGCGCCTCTTCTCATGACTTCCACCGCGCTGCCTACAACCCCGCGCACCGTTCGTACTGTGCAGAAGATGTCATGTGCCACCTGGGTCTATCCTACGTGACAGCACTGGATCTGATGGGCCTGGGATGACTGGCTTGGGCCCCAATGCTCCAGACTTCTGAGAGGGCGCTGCATCTGGGAAGCTCAAATCGCTGAGCCTCTTGAAGATCCCCCCTGAGAGCCTAACGGATTGCCTGCCTAAGTTCTCCGCTGCTGCCACGCGCTGCTCTACATGGGCCACAGAAGGGGGGGCCCTTAGCTTCTAGCTCGGCGCGTTTACCAGCTACTCGGTCCCCAAGACACCAATTTACAGGAAAACCGCAATCAAGGTGTCAACTCCTAGACTTGTGAGAGGGCACCCACAGGATCTCAACGCGGCCCCTTTCGATGTCCTCCAGCTTCCAGAATATATATATGCCCCCAGATTTTCCCTATGTGGCTGAGCAAAGCCACGCGTCGCCAATGGCCCCTTTCTCGAGGCGCATGAGCAAATTCACTCGGTCGGTGACGACGCTGCCTCGCGTCTCGTTCAAAAGGTGAAGCGTCTTGAGCTGGGCGCAGTGCTCCGCGAGACCTGAAGGCTGCGCAATACCTGGAACAGGACCACGCGCTGCTGCCATGACCTCTTCCGCCCCTGGGCGAATCGAAAACGCAGCCCATCCTGCCCTGGCGAGCCAATATATACCTGGATGTAGGCCCCACCCGTCAATGAAGATGAGCTGGGTCAGCTTTCCCCTGGGGGGTACAACCTCATTTGACAATCGCTGGCCTGGAGCGGAAGAGGCATCTCGTCTCGGCGGCTGTCCACCACACCGAAGGCGGTGGGAACACTGTCTGGGTTGTCTCGACCTACGCTGATCCGCTCGTCAAAACCCTGCTCGCGCCTCCAAGTCTCGAGCCCGTCGCATGCATGTGGCGCGTGGAAGATCCTTCCCGGCGCGCTTCGGCGCCAGCTGCAACCCCTGCGAAAGGAATCCATGTTCGGGAAACCTTGTCCAGAGCCCAGAGACCCCTAGCCGTGTGCATACTGACCAAATCAGCCTGGACAAAATCACACCTTCCTCGAAGTTGCCTGAGTTCACAGGATCCAGGAACGCGAATCCTCTCCACCCGCGATGTGCTGCTGCTGCTGCTAACTCCTGCTGTCTCCTCACTCCTGGATGAACCACCTTCTTCATACATGGTATGCCCCCAGCAGGATTTACCTGGAACCACTGGGGTCCTGCCGCTGAGAGAAAGAGCTGGTCTCCAGGCCCAAACGGCGCAAGGTCTGGGTCAATGACGCCTGGCCAGCCTCGACGCCCCCTCTCTAACACTGCAGAAAAACGCGCGCCATGCCGTCTTCTGGGATCCACCTCTGGTGCGTGGCTTGCACCCGAGTGACCAGCGGCGACAAAAATGATCGCGCATGCTGGATCCAAATCCACTGGGCCTGCACCGAAAAGGGCAAATGCGGAAACGGCCCTGAAATCCTTAAACCCTTGCCCGTCGTTCCCATTACCCTCACCCCACGCGTAGCGGCTGCCGCCCCTCCCGTCCGATATGCCTTCGATAACCCTCAAGCAGCGCGGCGCAAAACACTGAATCGATGCACTCGTCGCCTGGGCTTGCTTTGCTGAACCCCCCCCGGAGAACCACGTTGCCCTGCCTGAACTGCCAGCTGAAGTCGCGGCCTCGGTTCTTCGCGCTGGAACAGACTGCAAACTCGCGCGCGCAAATGCCCAGCGCGCTTCCTTGCCAAAAAAGGGCATGAATCCATGCTGCGGCACTTCTTCTTAGAAACGACCATCTCTAGCTTCTAATGGTCGGCAGAGGTCAGGAATGGCCCTGGCCAGGGCGGCCCCGGCTCGCTGCTGCGACTCTTGTGCTGCCGAGGTGGCGCCATCGACCATTGCGTAGAGCGGGGGGCGGCCGCCTCGACTGCATGTGCTCTAGGGCGCCCTGAACCACAACTCTTAGCAAGGTCGCAGCGAACGAGCGCCCTGCTATGATCGAGCGAGCGAGGGCGACAGCGCTAGATCTGACTTCCCAAACTTTCAGCCCTCTTCGGCCCCTTTGAACCCCTGAGGAGGCGACGGGCTTTTCTGAAGCTGCAACAGCGCTTGTGACATGCGCG